TTGTGATGTCTACTTTTAAGAGTTGAAGACTGTATGTGTGTGTGTATATATATATATATATAATTTCTTTTTGAATAGGAAATGGTTTATTGGTAAGTATGTGGTTTTGATAGCAATAATAAATTTACTTAAATGGAGACAATAAGTCGAAAGAATAAATGTTTATTGATCATCAGAATGTCTGTGGCCATTAGGGTTGTCATGTAGAAATCCAAAATCATTCAGAAACCAAATCTTAAAGAAGATTAGTCCTCTTACTAGTCTGTGTGACTAGTTTATGTGACTATGTCCATAGCACCTGTAATATGTAGAATTCTATAGAATATCACCTTCTAACCGGCATGACCTGTTGGCGGAAATCTGGTGAATTAGTGGTGAGGATTTTGTCTTCTTCAAACTGTGTTCTCTTTTTACAGATAGTTGATTTTGGATCACTTGGCTCTTTTCAATCACTGTGATCTCTTTAAACATCATGAAAACATTAACAAAGATTTTCTGTAAAGAAAACGTCTGAGTTTTGAATTGTAGACTCCACTGATGGACCCAAATATGGTACAGCACCACCAATACATTCAAAATCACAAGGGCTATACTGAATAGTATAGCCAAAAACTCAAAGGGTTTCTTTTGTAGGATACTATGAGTTATAGTTCTGCATAGACTTTGCCACCATTGACCATAGATCTGTTCTACAGTACGTTTTATTTTTTAGGGTAACTGCAGGGTGTCCAGAAAAACCTAATTGAAAGCATATCTCAAAGCATATATGAGTGACCCATAGTTTTTGGATTTTTTTGATTCCAGATAAACCCAGAAGATCCTTACCCAAGACTCAGATGAACCTTTCTCTAAGAACTGAACATTATTATTTTTTTTATACGAAGTAAAACTCTTATGTTAAAAGCAAAGAGAACAAAATTAATTGTTTTTGCTTTCAAGACTTCAAATGTCAAAAACTAATACTTCTTTAGGGTTGTACAAATGCATTTGGGACTCCTTAAAGTTAACTGAGGTTCTAAAATCTTAAAACTTAGTATAAGAATAAAGTATTTGGGCATTTGGCTCACTTAGGGGATGTGTCAAGAACCCTTTGGTGTCTTCTCCTCCGTGCTGGAGGTGTTACTCTAGGCTCTGTCTCGGGGTGTTGTCACTTTTGCCTTGGTTATGAAACAGTTTTCTTTCTGGTGAGGCTGCTCTTTACTATTTGGGTTTGCATGGAGACACTAAAGTAGCATTTAAAAACGCAAATACACTCATATTAGTCCCCTTCACAAAAGCTGTCACTAGCTCTGCAGGGTAGAATCCGTCTCCGGGGCTGTCTTGTCTCCTGATGCCCATGTGTGAACCTGCCTCTTGGGATTTTATGATTGGAGCCCTCTCATGGTGCTATAGTGTCACACTATTGCTCAGCCTTTCTTATGCTCTTCTCTCTAAGTGCACTTTTCCTCTTTCTTAGCTTACTCTTAAAGACTCACGTGAGCTGTCATCTTCTCCACAAAGTGGGACCTGACGTTGTGATCCCTACTTGTTTTTGACTTGCCTTTGTTGGTGCCTTCCTACTACCTGCACACTTTACTGGTTGTGTTGTATTTGAGCTGAGAAAGCCTGACTAGTCCTGGGACTGGATCCTTTCACTTTATATACCTAGAGGTCAGCACAAGGCCAGGCATGGACTTGATCTCCAAACATGTGAACAACAAGCTTTGAATTATTTGTAAATTTGTTTTCAGCAGAGAAGCATAGACACTTAGATAGATTTAGGCAAATGTACATGCATCAAATCTGTATGGGATTCTCAAATCAGCAGAAGTGTCCTCTGGGAGCTCCTTTTGTGTCTCAAAATGGCATAATGACCGTGCCTAATGAAGTGCATTTAAAAAAATGGAGGCAATAACAGTGAATCAGTTTATTGTATATTCTTTTACAAGTTTGTTATTCTAAGGAATCCAGAATATCTTTGGTACAACTTTTATGTTGTTTTGTTGTAATTTTATTGAGCTTAATGTCATCACAACTAATAAATCTGTTATGTAGTGACCAAATACCTCTCAGAAAAATTGGATATTCATTAATGTAGAAAAACTATGCTCTTTTGGTGTGACTGGTTTCCTTATAAAAATATAAGCTGTAAAAAGGGAGAATACTTCAAGAGGATGTTGCCAAATGGATAAAACTGAGCTGTAATCTATTTTTAGTCTGTAAACACAGTCACTCTTAGGATGAACAGGTAATACTTTCATCTGGCACATCATAAAACTCTGAATTCAGTACTTTGTTTTTTTTTATGGCTTTGTATGCTCACATAGGTTTAGTGTAGATTAATTTTGGATTATTTTTCTGCAATAAAATGAAAAGCACTCAGGGCCTGATTCCTGGCTGAAAATATCCTTTCTGTCACCTCACCCTGGACAGCCATGTCTGTGCAAAACGCTTCCCTTCTCTGCCCACTTCAACCTATAGAATATAAGGACCATGAAGGTTTGTTGTTTCATTGTAATGTAATCAAACAGGATGAAGCCACAGCTAATAATACTGCCATGTAGATACTAAATATAACTCAGTACCATTTCATCTTCATAAGTGGATGAATTTACATTTCAACCCCAAAGAATGTAAACCCACAAGGTCAGCAATGTTGTCTGTCTTGTCAAAATCAGTGTATCCTAAGTGTTTCCTATAGTGCCCTGTGTAACGTAGTAGATGACCCCCTTGGACTTTCTACCAAGACATGAATCTGTGAAGGTTGAATTTCCAGGATGTTTAAAATATAAAGTCTAGCTCCAAGCTTTAAAATGAAGACCTTTAAAGAAATAGTGGGCATTGATAATGTAGGAAATAAATTTTGTAGCCTGCATCTCCTTCTGGTCTGCTAAAGTCCCTGTCAAGGCCAGCTGTATCATCCATTCTCTAAGGAAGTACTGGCAGACTCTGGGTAACAGTTCCAGAAAGGAAGTGTGTGTGTGTGTGTGTGTGTGTGTGTGTGTGTGTGTGTGTGTTCTGAGCATGTGAAATGAAGAGGTTCTGAATGAAGATTTTTAAAATGCTCATTTCCATTTCACATGTGCTTCATATCATGCTATTCCTTTCTTTTTCCTTAGCAGTGTGGAGGTGAGAGTCCTCTAACATGATTTTATCACATTTTTAAAAAATGGGGAGTTAAAAAACTCACATTCTGAAGCATCAGGGAAGCAGTAGGTCAGGTCTTTGTTGTACAGAAAGGGTGTTTTCCTTTCTGTATGATGCAGGCTGCAAAGTGATGTGAGACTTAGAAAAATCTCTCTCTCTTTTTGGTTGGGGAGGTGGAGTACGCCGTGGGTGGACTCTCTGTCTCCTTCCCAGTTTTTCCTAAGCCCAAGTTTAGACAGCCAGGGGAACAGAGGGAGTGATGAGGTTATTTGGAAACTGGCCTCTGCTTGAAATAAAACATCTTATACATTCTTAAATCTCAGTGTGGCTGCTTTTTGAAGAGGAAGATGGTATGAGCCTGCACTGCAATTCTGAGCACCTGTAACCCTTGTTGGTCCGTGTGTTAGAGTTTTATTGTCTGGAAAATAGGATGATACGTAGTTCTTAAAGGAGAAATTGGAGTGTAGAAACCTGGGCATAGTGAATTCACCGTGTTTTATGTCATGCTTAAATGTAATGAAATTTGGGCCGCCTGTCTATCTCACCCCTAGAACATGAGTCAGAAGACGTCATTGATTGAGTTTGTTAACTGGGTAATGGGGGCAAATCATATTGAGACTGTCTCAGCCCACCGTTCTGCTTTGTTCATGACAATGATAACACTGACCCTGTAGATTTGCTGTGTGACCTAAATCCGACCAAGAATGAAGATGAGCGCAAAAGTCCTGTGAGACAGACCTACGCCCACGGCTGTGCTTCTCAGCCCTTTCCCTTCAGTGTGAGGTTTATCCACTTGGAAAATTAAAATCACTTCTCTTACAGATGCTAGTCTTCTGTTTGTTTGTTTGAGCTGCTAGAAAGCTAAGAACAAGCTTTTTAAGTCACCTTTTACAAGGACTTCATGCCCTTCATTTGGTATGATAGCCTTACTGCCCAGGTGTTTTTTGCTTCTTTCTCTGTTTCCTTCTGTTTTTCTTGTTACTTTACACATCCAAACTATATTATATGTATGTTGATGTAAGCAGATGTCACCTCTGTTTGGAATAAATTATTTGATAAAAACCAGCCAAACAAATAAAAATGACTATCATTTTGCATTCTTTTCCACTGAGTTGGAAGATAAGGGTGAGATTCTTAGGTGAGCGGTCTAGGCTGTTAGTTCTTTAATCCAAGTGTGAGTAGGAGTCTGTTTCAAAGATCTCACTTCTAGGGTGGTGGTAGTAGTAAGGTTTGCTAGCTCTTTGATGAAAACAACCTAATAAAATTCTTAGCTGATACTGTTTAGAATTGGGAGTTGCTAGAGGAAAAATACTCAGAGTTAAACAAATTATATTTGTGCTGAAATTGGCTACTTGCTTTATTTCAAGTTACATATACTATCAGGAATGTTTAGCTGAAGAAAGCACTTTAATACTTTAAGACAGGTTCTTGTGTACATGTATTTTTCATCATCCATTAGTGCACTCTTACTTGGAACAACAAATGAAAAAAAGAGACAGGGCCCCACAGGCCCTGATGTTAATATTTTGAGTTTCGTTAATATTTTATCACAACTTTATTTTGTTTGCTTTGCATGTGATGCTAAATAATCTTCAGATTTTTAAGTGTGATTTCATTGGTGATTGACTTAATACTAATTCTCTTCTTGGGTGTGTTTAGCCTATACTTCCTCTCTAAAGTCTGCTTATACCGATGGACACGGATTAAATCTGCACCTTATAGTTGTGATATGGTTTTCATTTGGGCAATGCAATCTGTAGAGTTCATGGGAGCTTTTTTGCCAGACAATCAAACAAACATAACAAAAAAGAAACTCTGATTGCTCTGCTGATAAATATGTGGCATAATTCAATACAATTTATTTTGTTTTTCAGTTCTTTCAGGAGGACCGTTGCCTCAAGGGCATGAATTTGAGCTGTATGAAGTAAGATTTCACTGGGGGAGAGAAAACCAGCGTGGTTCTGAGCACACGGTTAATTTCAAAGCTTTTCCCATGGAGGTGAGAATAATGGTCATCACATGAAAAATCTTAGTGTTCTGTGCTTTACTGAAGGTGGTGGAATTTAAGAGCAGATGCATACCTTTTCAATTTTATCAATTTATACTAAGATTAAAAATGCTTAATAAAATGTATACTTGAACCAGCAAATGAAGCTTTCCCCTACTTTATTGGGGTTGGAGTGTGTAGGTGAGCAATTGACCATAGCAGTGATCTGTTCTCTTCAATTTTATCCTGGTATTATTGCTGTTGGGAGTGTTGTGCTGCTTATGCAAGTTTAGTGGTCGCTTTTGTAGATGATGAGTGGGTGATGAGCTGGAAGCAAGTAGCTGTTGGAGAAAGCTCAACAGTAATTTAACATCTAGCTTAGCTTGTTCGAAATTGGTAGATTGGTTTTATTCACTCCAAGCTACTAGAAAGAGAAGGACTTGTAGTTAGTGATTCTTCCGTCGGAAGTGTTCTCTTTCCTACTTACCTTTTAGTTAACTCCTTCTCTTTCTTTAATGTCCAGTTGAAGACTCATATCTTCCAGGGAAGTTTTTCTGAGTTCCTTCTCTAGGCAGAATTTATTTCAACTCCTCTCCTCCTGGTGTACTTGGTAGGGTGCTGCCATGCTGTTACATGGGCTGGTACGTATCATGCCTTCTGTTTTGCTGACTGTGGACTCCCATTATCAAACACACTGCTAGGCACATCACAGACAAACGGTTCATGCTGATGAGGTTCGGGGTCTGTGCTGGTCCATGCATTTATAGTACTTTCTGTAAAGAACCCCAGTTCTCCAGAAATAGCCCTTCCATGCCTGTAAGATGTGTTACTCCTTTCCTTTGTTGCTGGGACAAACTGCCTGACTCCCAGAACTTAAAGGAGGAGAGGCTTATTTTGGCTCGTGTTTTCAGTTCAGAGTTGGCCAACTACAAGCAGAAATGGCATGAGAGAGGGGCCAGGGCAGAGGAGAGCTGCTCACATCGTGGCGGCCAGGAAGCAGTGGAAGGAGGAGCCAGGGCAGGAGGGACATCCTTCCAGGTCTTGCCCTGAATGACCTGCTTCTAAAGGGTCCCATCTCCTAACAGCAAGTCAACTGCAGCAGCCCCCGTAGTTCAGTCACCTTCTGGAAACCCCACCTCTGAGCACACGAAGCTCTTAGGGAGCACTGGGGATCGAAACCACAACATAAGAGTATGTTTTTCTTCCTCCCGTTCTTTTCTTCCTCCTTCCTTTCTTTATTCCTTGTCCTCTGGGTGATCTAACGCATTTCTGAGACCTTAAGTCTTAATCATATCAGTCCAAGATTTTATCTCCATCTAAATTCATATAGACAACAGTGAGTAGTAGATTTTCTGACCTTTGTGCTTGGTAAACATGACAGATTAAAAACAATTCAATTCTTAATAAAAGTATATTTTGGAGACTGCTGGAATGTCAATATTCTTTCTCCATTGTTTATAATTACATGTACACTTAATATAAATATGGAATTGTTTATGGCCTCATACCATATCTAGCCTTATCACTTCAGTGATGGAGATTACTAGTGTGTAGTTTTATTTATTTATTTATTTATTTGGTTTTTTGGTTTTTTGGTTTTTTCCGGTACCGGAAATTGAACTCATTACGTCGTGCTTGCGAGGCAGGCGCTGTGCCACTGAGCTAAATCCCCAGCCCCTAGTGTATAATTTTATATAAATGATCTATGGTATGTATTTTAAAGATTAGATTAGAATGTTTTGCAAGATTACTTCAATTATAATTTAAAAAAATCTCTCTGGCAGCTCAATATATCTACTCCAGGGTGTGGTGTCTATATATAATGGAATACTAGTGTGCTGCAAAGAATGACAAATTTGAGGCATTTGTAGGAAAATGGATGCACCTAGATCCGTGTTGGATGAAATAAACCAGACACCCAAGCTCAAGTACCGTGTCGTATCTCTCATTTGAGTGAGGCACGTTACAAAGAGAATAGTAAGGATGGATAGAAGGGAACAAGGGGGTGGTCTCTCATGCGAGAGAAGTGGTCTAAGGGGAAAAGAGTGAGGGCTGAGGAGGAGGGGAAGGGGAAATAAGTAGAATAAATACATGCCTCTTACAGGGACCTAATAACCTCAATTAATATAAACATTATATGCCATAGCATGAGCTACGGCAAGAATGAGAATGGAGGAGGGGAACTGTAGGAGGAAGGAGGAAGGGGGAGGGACAGGGAAGAGGATGAAAAAGAAGCAAGTGGTGGTATGTACACGGACCCGCTCTCCAAGACAGATGGTAAACTGCATGAACTGAAAGCGTGTACTAATAGAATAAAAATTAAAAATTTAAGAAACAGAAAAAGAAAAAAAGGCTTTAAAGTGGGTGTCGTGATGCATGCATATAATTTCAGGTACTTAGGAGGCTGAGGCAGGAGGATTGAAAGTTTGGATTCCATCTGAGCAGCTTAGACACTGTCTCAAAATTTAAAAACCTAAGAAAAGATGCAGCACAGTGGTAAAGTACCTTAGGTTTGATCCCCAGTACCAAAAAAAAGGCCTTTAAAATTGAAATGTGAAATGTTTTAAGGAGAGAGGGACAAAAACCAGAGTGTGGTCTGTCGAAGAGCATGCGCGGCCTGAGGACGGTAGGAGAAAGCATCTTAAAGATCTTAATGGGCAGCATCTCCACGTGTCCTCTTTCAGAGAGCTGTTTCCTTATTGCCAAGAGAGATTCATTTCCATAACCTTAAAACAGTCCTGGCTACTGCCCTGGGTCCAGCCAGCCCAAAACAGAAAAATTCACTCCAGAGCTCCTCAAAGAGGAGAGACAGCACAAAACGACCTGCTGGGTCATGGGGGCCGGGGACTGGTGGGACAAGCCCGGCCCTCTTCTTTGGGTTTAAAAGGCCATTTCATTATTTCGCCCAGTCACTCCTCAGAGGCAGACTCTCGTAACCATGTATTTTAGAGGGATGGGCACTATGGGGAGGCCAGAACTTCCGGGTGGGAAGTCAGTGACTTTGTTCGTGACACAGTTTCCAGCCTCGAGAAATTTAATTAGATGAGGTGACTCAGTGATCTGTATTCTTCGCTGTGGCTACTTGGTGGCATTTTAACAGCTCTGGTCCATTAAGCGCAGGTAGTAGACTGTTTTGAGTGAAGATTAAATTCTGGATGTGAGCTTTATTTCTGCAGAAATGCTTATATTTGGGATAGTGGAATTGTGGACTATAATTTTTCTAAAATAGGTAAGGATTAATATTTATATTCTTTGTTATCCCAGATTATTTTTGATGCATTACTAAAAAAATACTTGTATCGGTCATCTGCTGTTTGCTTGCGGTTCTGTGCCATTGCACGCGCAGATGTGTGGGTGTGTAAACTCAGAGGGAGATGCTGCAAAGCAAGTTAAAAACACCGAGGCTGTGAATACTGGACTTTTGCAGCCATCTCCCTCTGAGTTTACACACCACCGAGGCTGTGAATACTGAACTGGGTTTTGAGATGGCTTTTGGGCTGTGGCTGCACACGGGAGAAAAGGACTTTATGGGGCAGAACGTTCCAGGAGCAGTAATGACTTGGCAAATGCAGTTGCGTAGGTAACTTACTTCTGCTCCCTTGGTCCTGAACAGCCACCAGGGAGCACCTTACGCAAGAATGTGGGCGGCGGGACAGGGGAGAGTGGGGGACCAGGTGCTCTTCTGAACACGTCTTCACGTTTATTTCTGAGTACGTTGTCCATATTTGAATAACGTGTGGTGAGTGATTCTCTTGCTCCGAGGGTCGAAGCTTGTGACTTAAAAGTGAATTGCCCACAAAAGGTCCAGCTTTGATGTAGGGAAAACCCTTATCTTTACTCATCTGGTACCTAAAGAGCTACTGTTATGTTGTATACTCCGGAAGGGCTGTGATAAGTGAGCCATACAGCAGCTGTTTATGGAAGGTTGAGTACATGAGGTAAAGACTAACTTTAATTTCAAAGTTACATATCCATGCTATTTCCTTTTTATTGATTTCATTTGAAAATAAATGATTGGTTTGTTAAACAAATACTAAAAGGAAATATTTTCCCATGCCTGTTAACTGTAACACTCTGTCTTGGTTACTTCTTTCTCGCTGCTGGGACAAAATACCTGCCGCCCAAAATTAAGGAAGGAAAGGTTTATTTCGCTTACAGTTCGTGGAAGTTTCAGTCCTTACTTGGGAGATCATAAGGCAGAGTGGCACGTGGCAGAGGGCTGCATCTCAGGACGGCAGCCACAGCTAAGCAAGGACTCACTTACACGGGGCGGAATGGGGGAGGAATGCCGGAGGAGGAATGCCCTGAAGCACTTCTTCCTCTCCCTTACATATGCAAACTATCCACTCCAGGGCGGGTGCAGCTCTCAAACCCATAATAATCAAACTCTAACAGCCTGCCCCGTGATCGCATGAGGCTTTGGAGGGGACACACAGACAGAAACCATAACACACTCAAGATGACTTTTCACAGAAATCCATCCACCTGTCTCCCTTGACTTTTAAAAATTATTACTACAAGTATGGTAACAACCCCGAGTATATATTTTAGACTACTGGGAGTCAAGACAAGTGCTACTTCAAAAGTTAGCACAATTTGTAATTTCTAACAACTTCAGCTGTCGCTGTTTCCTAGGCAAGATGGATAAAGCATGCCTTTTATGTTTTTCCCTCTTGAGATATTTAGTTTTCAGATGTGAACATGCTTCCACAGCCATTGGACACCTTTCACAAGGTTTTCATCATGTAAACTTGAATTCTGTCATGAATACCCCAGGTTTATATCTAGACAACAGTGCCTTCAACAAGAAATAATACTTGTGCTGCGTTTGCCTGTCACCTGACAGTAGGATGGGTGTGTATGTATTAAATATATTCTTACAAATGTCTGGGTTGGGGTAACCAGCTGGAATTATTTTATTCAACTTGAAAGTATTTTGCATTGTGGTAATCAAGACAGACATTAGCATGAGTAGGAGGTTGTCCATTAAAGGCAAGTTTGAGATCAACTAA